AAAAAAAAACTGAGAGCTAATTTTCTGCTATCTATCAGATATTCTCTAGAATCCTATAAAAACTGAAGTCAGAAGGTACATCTGAAGGTCAGGTACATCTCTCTCAAAACAGGGGCATCTCTGGAGTCATCTCAGTTTTGTTCAGGACCTTGTCCAACTATGGTCTCAGTACAGCTCAGCTTCCCTAAGCCCTTGCTCAAGAGGTTGGGCATCTCCACTGTGGAATATTTTCTTGCTGTGTACTAAAAATGTTTCTTGCTATTTGTCCTTAACTCTTACTCAAGAAAAGCCTGACTCCACCTTCTCTGTAACCCTCCCTCTAGGTAGTTTCAGTGTGTCTGTGTCCATGTGTCTGTTTTCTATTTTGGTTTATTTCTTAGAATACATGCCTGCCTGCAACTACTCTGAGCACTGTAGAGCTGTAGGACCTCTGGAGTCTAATAGCAGGGGAAGGGAAGCATGGCAAATACATCCCTAAGGAAGAAGGTGGACGGATTTGTTCTTTAGTGCCACCACACACATTCCCCCACTAGGTGTGTGTCCAGCTCCTCGCCCCCTCAGAAGTGGTTGACCTGCAGAGCAAACATGTCCAGCATGGTCTTTGCCTCTGGCCAGAGAGCCAGGAAAACTCACTGTGCAGGTGAATGCCCATCAAGCAGGAGCTGGGCTGTTCATCCACATGTACCTCTTTACCAGCTCTCATCACTGGAAACCCCATGATCCATCCAGATAATGTCATCCATACAGCCAGGGACACAGCCAGTCCCTGGGAGCTGGCAGGGATGAGAAACATTGCACTATTACAGTGTGTTTCTTTTTAATCCCTTAAAAAATCCGAACTCACAGCCATACTCTTTATTTTAATAATGCCTTGCTGCAACATGGCTAACTTCCTTGAGGGCTCATTTCTAAAGCTTCTTTGACTTGTCTTTCACATTCTCCTGTTTCCTTGGTGATTTGTCAGGCCTCATCAGCGTCTTGTTACTAATGCATATTTGCTCAGCTGGGAAGTCACTTTCTCATTATTCAAGCCTGCCATGTGCTGGCCATTTGTGATATGAAATCTTGTCTGTCTTGCAAAAAGAGAAAGACACTCTTCCAGACAATCCATGGGAGTACTGGGATAGGGATTTGTGTTTTTTATTTTGCAAATGGTTGATTTAATTTGAATTCATTTTTTCTTTTCTTCCTACCTAAGGAAGGTTATGAAAGGAAACATTTACCATCCTTCCCCTCTATATTTGTGAACAGCTCCTAGAAATTTCAAAACATTCATTTCCTTGCAATTTTTGCCATTTTACATTTCACAGACTCTTCACTTCTTTTTCTGTCTATAAGATGAAGTTAGAAAAGATGGAACAAGGTTTTACTTGGAAAAAAAAGAAAAAATATATTAAAACATCAGAAATTGCTATCATATGTGAGTGCTTTAATTTTTAGGTGAGCTCTGCAGTCATTTGAATGCCTGTGGTTTCATACTTTTCAGATCTCTGATTCTTGTGTAGTTTCAGGAAAAGTATTGCACTTTTGCACAAGTGAGTTCTGCTTTCCATGGTTACTGTTTTAGATGTATGCCTTAGTTTCTTTTGGACTGAAAAAAATAGCATTGATTGGGATACAGCCTGCCTATCTGAGACACATAAGTTCCACCTTTTTTTTAGGCACCTAATGAATCTATTTTTCCTGTATAGGGATATATTTCCTACAGATAGTAAGTGGAGAGTAATACAAGTATGTTTCTCCTACACATTATATGGGCAGGAGAATACAGTTTGCCTGAGTTCACTGGGTGTTGAAGATGACCATTCAACTGAGTTGGCTCAGTTAAGCTGTGTAAGAGCATCCCTGTTTGACTGATACACTGATTTCAGAGACCTTTAACAGAGATCATTTCTGGACATTCTGCAGCCACTCCATAAATGAGAGAGTCTGAGCCTCCTTCATGTGGCTGAACAGGCTGGGTTTGCTGAAACTGCCTGCACAATCTGTGATCAACATCAGCACTCCCACTCCAGAGGTGTTCTTTTGTCTGCTCCTCCTTATTGCCCTTTCTTTAAGATCTCTAATTTCAAGCAGCTGTAGAGAAAATCATAAACAAAATAGCAGGGGCAGGACCATTCAGCAGTATAACTGCTAAACTTGTGGCAAATGTTGGTTTTCATTTTTCATTATTCTGTCAGCCTTACAGCATCCTAAGTACAGCCTCAGGCCCTGTGGTCGCTTCTGATCTGCCTCCCTTTTCTTTGCATTCAAAGTTATTGGTTTCATGCTGGAAATCATGCTTTCCTTATGGGATCCTTGTTTGTCCAACTAGGCTTGGGATGAGACCACACTTCTAGGTATTTCCATATTTTGTATTCAAATCCACGTTGCCTTTTGGGGAGCAATGAAGAGCTGTGGGCAAGGAGGAGGAAAGGAAAGAGAAGGAGTATTTCATGGCTGCACAGTGCTACACAACAGCAAGCTATTACTTTCCATTTAGGACTTCTCATATATTCTGAGGTAGTGTGTGCTGCTCAGTTGTTAGCATTCTTGGCCACACTGGCACTGCATTGTACACAGCCTGAGTAATTCAGCTGGCTTCAATAATGCCATCTATATTTAATGTTTCAGAAGCTGTGAAGACTGGTTTAAGATGGTAATTTTCTGTCTGCACTTTTGAGATCTATGCAATATGGGTGGTACTGAAATGTCTCTAGCAGGGATTCAGCGTTGGAGTGGGAATGTGGGGAAAAAAATCAAAATAAAAAAACACATCCTGTTTTGCCCCACATAATGAAATTAGCAACCCGCTTATTATGTACAGGGAGGATTTGGTCCTCATGAAAGAAGGAATAGTGATATCTACCATTTCTATGCAGACCAGAATTGCCACTGGAAGCAATGTCTTACATTTTTTGAGGAGGTCTAAAATGAATTGATTGATCTCTGGACAGGCAACCAGGAGGTTAATTCTGTCTGTCTTTCTCATCTCTTCTCTGGAAATACCAGTAAGAGGATATTAGTGATGTCTGCCAGTTTGATCTGGTCCTACTACACAGCTCCATCTCCTAGGGTCAAGCTGGCAGCCGTGGAGACAAACGCTTTTGGTTGCATGTAGACCAGCTGAGCTTCCAGGCTGCTGGAGCTCTGCAGGTGCCTCTCTTCAGGATCACCAGAGCTGTGATGAGCAATGTGATGTGCTTTTTTCCGCTTCCTGACACTTGCATTTTGGTTCAGGGAAAAGACACTTTCATAACATGCAGGGCACCCTCACAGACCCAAAGAATTGCACACTGGGGACATGGAATAAATTAGAAGTATGAGCCAGATATTTCCTGGCTGTATAGCCATGAAATCAGTTCTTTGCCTGATAAAACTGGGGGACTTCTGTCTGAATTCTGTGTCACAAATCTGGGAACATCAGGGCTTAAAGGGAATGGCCAGAGATGTGAGACAATATGGAAAGAACAGACACTTGTATAGCTGTGATGTCCATTGGAGTAGTAGGTTAATTACCTACAGAGGGAAGCTCTGGCAGAAAGGCTATGTGAGATGGCAAAGTAGGTGGAACAGTATCAGACAGCATAACTATTGAAACCAAGGTTATTTTTTTATTTTGATTGACTATGGTATATAGTTGCAAGAAATTTGAAGGGCAAAAGAAATATCTGTAGGATCAATTTTTAATAAGTAGATTTATGTATGAAAAACAAAGTAATTCTGAATAATTAATACCTGAATCTTGGCATCATTCATTATAATCTTTATGGAAAACCTGTCTGTTTATAAGCAGGTGTGACAGCAGTCCCTGTTATGAAACTTGTCTCATTTCTGCCAATGTAAGATCCTTTTCCCATTTGCTTCTAACTTTGCCAAACATCACGTGTTTGTGCTGAAAATTTTCAGGCTGTTCATCTGTCTTAGGCTGATATTTTTTCAGTCACATTTATTTATTTATTTTCCAAAATAAGAGTAAAGGAGAAAAATACGCTGTTTGGCAGGTATAACTCCTTGTTACAACTTGTTGGTTTCAGCATCAACCACTCAGGAAAAAGAAATATGCAAACCTGACCTATGCAAAATTAGCAGGTTCTGCAGCTTTTAGAGATAAATATGAGGGAGAGAAAAAGAAAGTTAAACCCCCAAGGGATGACTCAACATTTTAAATAATTTTGACATCTCTGGAGGTTGAATGGGAAGGTCCCAGTCCTGTGAATGAAAAACCCTATGTATGACTGGGAATAGGATATCTTAGTTACAGTTTCTCTGCTTTCCATCCCTGTGAAAATAGGACACATTTACTGTCTTTGGAGCCTATGCACACGCAGTAAACCTTCAATAGTTGACAGTTAAACCACTAAGACTGCTAGAAGGTTTTATCTCATATCAAGCATTTTGTAGCTCATACTCCAATAAGAATGCACACTCTATTACCCCAGGGAAACTGAGAATGTTGGATATTTTCCTGGGAACCCTGTTCCTTGTTGGTCCAGAGCCAAGTACAAAGATGCAGAGCATCACATCTCCCTCTCTCGCGTGCTCTCAGTGTCTTCCACACCAATTCCTCCCATGCTCAGACAGTTTTGGAAAAATTGCCTTAAACACAAAACAAGAAAAGTCAGGGTCAAAAGAAGAGATATATAATTAGACTAAATCACAGTGGGAGATCACAGTTGGAGATGTGAAAACAAAACAGTGGAAGTTTGTGAGCTGATTGCAATAAGTGAAATGTGGCCATGGAAGAACCATGGGGAGGGGGTGGGTGTGATAGAGGAGGTTTAAGTTCAGTTATTCACTAGTGAAAGATTATTCAGGGGCAAGATGAAATGAAAACTCATTTGGGATCTTCCAGATGTGATTTTATGTTGTTCAAAAGGATGGCCTGTAGGGTTTTTCCCAGAGCTGGAGTAAAATTCTCGCAACCAGGATGAAGGTGGAGTCTGGCCACACTGGTGAGACATCACTGCTCAGAGAAGACTCT